ATCAGCTTTCATCTTGTCCTTCTTTGAACCAGATTTTGAGGGGTTTTCAAGTATCAGGGCTAGGGTGTCAGCTAGTTTGTCCACATCAGCCTTCCTTTTTTCAGCCATTACTGTCGTGTGAACAAAATCAGAAAAATTCTCAGCATACTGGTCGAGTGTGTTTGTACACAGCATGGATATCCATCTCATCAAGGTCTTTAGTGTGCCTTATCTGTGAACACAGCTTCCTCCAATCAGGTCCAAGAGCAGACAGAAATCTCACATTCAGCTCCATATTAGACTTATGCACGCCAATCTTTCTCATCTCATTGATTAGCTGCAAGAATCTGAGATATGTATCTTCAAGGGATTCTCCGAGTTTAGCTTTGAAAGAATCATATGTTGTGATGGTGCTGGCTTTCTTTGCTTTGACTCCAATCTCCGTGCCTTGCATAATCTTGAAGATTTCGTCCCACATCTCCTTTGTTGTTGACATGCTGTCAATCTGCATGTAGATGTCGTTCGGGATAGCCTGTAGCAGATAAGTCTTAGCAAGCAAGTCAGCTCGGAGTCTAGCTCGGTCCTCGTCATCGTACTCCTCAGCTGTCTTGGGTCTTCACTCAACTTCAACCGGTGGGTTGTTCACTTCATTTCTGTCAATGGCAATGAGAAGTTGAGCAGGTCCATTAGTAATGAAGTCAAGCAGTCCTGATGATTGATCCTTACTTTCAAGAAAGTTAAGGAATCTGTTCTTCCAAACGTTGTACTCTCCTCTTCGTAGAATAAGGGGTCTTGTGTCGTTTCCAATTGACAAAGCGTCCATTTTATAATTGACTGGGCTGATCAGTTGATTGATTAAGTCTTGTTTCTGTTTGTTTAGAACTTCAAGCAGTAGGTTGATGCACTGTTGGTGTTGCAAATATGTTTCAGTGTTGAGACTGCTCAACTTTTTGAAATAAGGCAAGTCTTGAAATGGGGCAAGCCTTCAAATGGGGCAACTCCTGAAATGAGGCAACTTTTGAAATGGGGCAACTTCCAAAGATCGCTCAAGTTGAAATGGGGCAACTCTTTGAAATGGGGCAAGTGTTGAAATAGGGCAACTTTAAAGATCGCTCAAGTCCAAATGGGGCAACTCCATAGATCGGGCAACTTCAAATCGGGCAAGTGTGAAACTCACGCAGGTGTGAAATCGGGCAACTCCAAAAGATCTCTCAAGTCCTGAAATAGCTCAAGATCAAAATCGCGCAGAGTGTTTTGCGCGAAATTGAAATCGCTTAACTCCAAAATCGGGCAAGCTGTGTTGCGCGAAAGTGGAAATCGCGCAGGAGTCCTTTTGCACTAAACCTGTTCTTCTTCTCTGGGAGTTGCCCGAAAATGCAGAATCGCTCAACTCTGGCTTAACCTGTACGCCAAATTTCTGGGTGCGATTTTTCACAGAGTGAATCCTTGCAAGCCTAGAAACACTTCCCTGTAAACATTTTCCTGCAAAATGACAACAAAAACAGAACAGAAAATCGCTCAAGTGCAAAACTTCATCGATGAAGAATCGCGCAAGAGTATTTTCCAGCCTTCAATCGATCGATACCAGATGTTAGGTCCCTATTTTCTATTCTAGAATATGTATATATGGAAGAGTGATCAGATGAGGATGAAGCTTTCCATTGATGTGTAGAAGGTTATAACCGCTTTCGCGGCGTTGTAGTAAAACGGAGTCTAACCTTTCGGTTTTTCCCCGAGTGTCGTGTCTCTTGAGGAATGGCGGAGAAGATTCTTAATTTAATTTTAGTCACGGGCTATCGCTAATCGTTGGAAGCTTTTTCAATATAGGAAGTGATTTTGTTCAATATTATGCTAGTTTATAACTAGGAGCAAGGGCAATTTAAAGATTAATGTATTAAGATTGAATATTCAAGGATGCAAATAAGGGCAATGAATTGAGTAATTAGAAATGGATATGTTCTTGGACCTCTTAATTAGGGAAATTAAGACTAAAGTTGGACTAATAATTTCTTTTCTCATAGACAAGAATAGAAACTATCTTCATTAATTTATCCTATTTCTAGGTGTCATTAATGTGTTTAAAATGGTTGGCTTAAATTATTTTCTAAACCCATAGACAAGGTAGAAATAATTTTCCAATATTTTAATTAATAAAAATAGCCAAATTCATTAACTAGTTAAACTCTTTATTTTAGCAATTGAATTTATTTCTCATAGACAAGATGTAAATCCTTTTCATTAAATTATCCTATTTCTAGGCTTTATTAATGTGCTCAAATATGGTTGGCTTAAATTAATTTCTAATCTCATAGACAAGTTAGAATTAATTTTCCAAGAATTTAATTAATGAAAATGGCTAACTATTATTAATTACTATTTCATCATTTTAAACAACTAGTCCAATTTATTAATTTTAACCCCTAATTTTAGGTCAACAAGTCAATCCATATTCCTTTTCTCAATTCATGCCCTAACAAATTTAGCTACTCATCATCATTTTTACAATTAACAATATAATGATTAAATTCAACATTAACAAGGAATTAAACATGTATGATAGCAAAAATTAAACAAAAATTATATTCTGGAACAATAAACTTGTAGGAACTAAAATATAACTTTCTGGAAATTTTCACCAAATTTTGAACCTAAAATCCAATTTTAACAACTAATTGATAATTTTCTCAACTTTAACTAGAAAATGCAAAAAGCAACTAAAAAATACTCTAACTTCATTATAAATTTTATTTTAACTACTGGTAGTGATATAACAATTAATTAAACTGAAAATAAGGCCGAACTAATTTTTTTCCTTTTTTGAGTATTTATTTAAATTTAAGCAATAATATCAAGTAATTACCGAAATTAATTAAAAATTACTTCTACTTCGTGAAAAATTAATTTCTTCAGATGAATAACTACCTTGTGGCTAGTGAACAACTATATAATTAATTGGAATGAATTCAACAACAATAACTATTTTATTTAATTTTTGGAAAGAAATGCGAAATACTTGAAAAATAATCTGGAAATTTTCGAAGAACAGATCGAAGAAACAAAGCACAGATTCAGATTCTACACGTTGAGAAGATGAAAATACATATAAAGAACTTACAATTTGGAGCTAAAATGAAGAAGATATGAAGATTTGAAGTTTCTCTCTCTCTAAAACCTTTGGAGCTCGAAAATGGAGGAAGAAAGAAGGTGTTTTGAACTGATTTAGGGTTGGAAGAGGTGTGTTTGAGTTCAGCAAAAATCGGGCAATTTATAGGAAATTTTTCTCCGTAGGCGGCCATCCAGGCGGCCGCCTTCCGCCTCTCTCCGACCGCCTTCCGTCTAATCGCCGGCAGCGGATCGTGGCCGGTCCCGTCAGCCGTAGGCGGCCACAGAGGGCGGCCGCCTTCCGTCACACATTGGCCGCCTGCCGTCTTTTCATGGTCAAATCGGATCGCGGCGGATCCCGGCCGCCGTAGGCGGTCCAGCAGGCGGCCGCCTGCCGTTCCTGTCTGGCCGCCTGCCGTCAAATCCCACCGGCCGGCGGTTGCTTCGTCGTCTTCTGCCGCAGGCGGTCACCTTAGGCGGCCGCCTTCCGTCCAGTGTCGGCGGCCTACGGTCTTTTCCGAATCCGGTCAGAGTCAAAGTTTGACTTTCCAAAAATACCGTAGGCGGCCGCGAAGGCCTTCATTTTGGCCGCCTGCCCGGCCGCCTGTGAGATTATTTGTCCGGCTTGTTCCTTATTTTGTGCTCTTCAATATTGTCTTCTGGACCACTTTGAAATAATGTCTCCTTCTTTCGGTATGATATCATTTGTTGCTCAAATTGGCTCATTTTGTGCTCAATTGACCCGAAATTCCGACAAACATACGATGAATGTGGTTTTCACCTGATTTCATGAAACTTGAACCAAAATATCTAAAACATGCCTTTTCTTTCTATTTTCAATCAAAAATCGCTAATATTTGATAAGAAAAATAAGTACAAAAATGGACTTATCAATCTCCTCACACTTAAGCGTTGCTTGTCCTCAAGCGACGAATTAGTTGGAAACACACTCAAAAAGGGAAAACATGACTATATCACAATCGAATTGCTATTAAAGAAGTACAAACAAAAACCTCTCTTTTATTCTCAATTTTTTTTTTTTTTTTAGAAAAATCACCCAAGATATATGAATTTACTATTATTATTACTAAAGAAAACTATTGATTATGTTAAACCACCGATCAATTCCTTATCCCAAGGTTTTCATTATTCTAATTTGGACATTCATCTTGTTCACCATTTTTTTTTTTTTTTGCTCTTTTTCACTCTTGTTGGCGGTGTTATCCCATGGTAAATGCATATTTCATTCTCACAGACTGTGATTAACGAATGAAACAGAGCCCCTTTTCGGAGATGGAATTGTCCTATAACAATGAGTTTTGAAGAGGTTTATTAATAGTAACATTTTTTTTTATGAAAAAAAAATGAATGTCCAATTAAAACAAATTCGGCCCTTTACATTCGCAACCAAAAACCCATAACAAATTTAAGTTTTCTAAAAATAATAATAAAAGTGAATTCTTATAATAAGGGTGATTATCTAAACTATTTTGTGATTGATAACAAATTGAGAAATTAATGTTTCATATCAAAATAGTAAAAAGATTGTTCTAAAACAAGGTTTTAACTTTGAGTGTAAAACGCAACCTCCTCACACTTGAGCTAGACCTCGCCCTCGAGGTCTTCTTTTGAGGCATAAAATTAGCAAATAAAGGCGCTTTTTTTTTTTTTTGGTTCTTTCCTCACACTTAAGATTTGAAAAGATTTTGTGAAGAGGAATAATGAAACAGGAGAAAAAATGGTTTTAAAAATCCTTACATCATCCATAGTCAGTTTGTAAGAGCATTCAAGTCAAAAGAGCAGCGCAATGTCCAACCTGAAGAACAAACAAACATGATAAAAATGTTAAGGAAGAAGCAAATCTAAAAATCGCCTGCGCCATCCTGGGGGCGATAGTGTGGCCTAAGCCAATCTCTCATCTCATCAATATCTAGCCTCTGGGTCTCTAGCTCCGCCTGCATATCCCGGGTGGCTCTCTCCTGAGCTAATCGAAAGTCTCTGAACTCTCCCAGGGCCGTCTCATGCGCATCTCGCATCTCCTGGAATCCTCTGTCCTGTGCAACCCGCATCTCTGAGACTGAGGTCTGTAGACTCCTCATCCCATCCATCATCGCTCTCCAATCTGCGGCGCTAGGCATGTATGAAAAGGGCTCGCTAGATCCCTCATGTCCTGAGGGTCGAGAAGAACTACTCTGCTGGGTCGGCTGCTCAATACCTGGGAGCTCCTGAGTGTTCCGCTTCTTCTTGATCCTCATGTTGGTAAAGGATGAGGATCGAAGAACGCGGATGCTATCGTGTAAGTGCACTAGTCCTGGAATGTCTAGATCTGGGTAGAATGATCTAACGAGAGTAGTGATGAAAGGCCCTGCCTGGATAGTGCGCCGCACAGTCTTCCCCTGGCTCCGGAAGAAACGAGCCATAAGGACAGCCATATTCACCGGGATGCGGTGAATCAAACTCCAAAAGAATAGTATGTCCTTTTTGGACAACCTGTTTGTGTTGTTAGGTCGTCCAAAAAAACCACAAGAAAGTACGAACGAGAGTATGTACCAGTGAGTCTCCCTCCATTTGTTCGAATGGGGGTGCATCCGGAGAAATGATCTGGTGTCTGTGGAGTGTCTGTGCCAGAACTCATCAATGTCAAATGCCTCGGGTAAGCGGGTCGGAAGAGCGCGGAACTCCTCAGTCTGTGTGTATGCTGGGGTATAGAGCCCCATCCTCCATCCGAGCTCAGCCACAGTGATGGAGTGCTCCATGCCTAGAATAGTAAACCTCATCCGAGACTCTGACCCAATAACAGCACCCTCCTGCACAGCCTGTCCGTAATGAGTGAACTGAACGGAGCACAGAAACTCCATCGTCAATGGAAGGCTGGCCCTCTCCTGAACGAATAGAATCCTCCGCCATAAAGAGTCTCCTAGCAGGGCATCAATGTCATCCCAGTACCCCCATTCCTCTAGCATCGTCGGGTCCAGGATCATGGGAGGAAGGAGTGTGCGGTATTGCCCCCATGCCTGGAAGCGTCTGCGATCAGCAATAGTAGCAAAGGGGATATCAGGCTGTGGCGGCGGGTCTTCCCGTCCTAGTGGTGGCTCCTCGAAAATGGGATCGTCACGTCTTCCTCCAGACATCTGCAAGAAATAAACAAAGTAAAATATTTTTGGGTTAGTTTTTTTTTTTTTTTTTTTTTTTTTTTGGGTTGGGTTGCCTCCCAATGAGCGCTTCTTTAACGTCACTAGCTTGACGAATGTCCTCCTTTGGTTCAAATTTTTTGGAGATAGAGAATCTCCTTGCTTTTTTCAATCGGGCCGCCATGGTAGAGTTTAAGTTGGTGGCCGTTGACTTTAAAGGGACCCCCATTAGCATCTTCAATCTCAACAGTTCCGTAGGGATAAGCTTTTATGACCTTGAATGGTCCGGACCATCTTGACTTAAGCTTTCCTGGAAAAAGCTTCAACCGGGAGTTGAACAACAACACTTTATCTCCAGCATTGAAATCACGAGCCTTGATGTGTTGATCATGGTAGAGTTTGGCCCGTTCTTTGAAAAGTTTGGAATTATGAAAAGCTTGCGCTCTCCATTCTTCCAGTTCATTCAGCTGGTAAAATCGTTCCTTCCCTGCAGCATCTAGTTTAAAACAAACATTTTTCATCGCCCAAAGTGCTTTATGCTCGAGTTCGACGGGTAAGTGGCAAGACTTCCCGTATACAAGGCGAAAAGGTGTGGTTCCGATCGGGGTTTTGTAAGCAGTCCGAAATGCCCAAAGAGCGTCGTCAAGTTTAGTTGACCAGTCTTTCCTGGTCTGGGCAACAGTTTTCTCCAGAATGGACTTCAAATCCCTGTTAGCGTTCTCCACTTGTCCCTGAGTCTGGGGGTGATACGCTACTCCGCTTCGATGTTGGACTCCATATTTGGCCAAAATTCTGGCCATTGGATCATTGTGGAAATGAGTCCCTCTATCGCTGATCAAAACCCTAGGCACACCAAATCTGGTAAAGAGCTTTTTCAGAAAATTCACGACTACTCGAGAGTCGTTGGTGACACAGGCCTGGGCTTCAACCCATTTAGAAACATAATCAATGGCCACAAGAATGTATTTGTTTCCTCTTGAGCTTGGGAAAGGTCCAACAAAGTCGATGCCCCAAACATCAAATACCTCACAAGGTAAGATAAAGTGTTGGGGCATCTCATTGCGCCCAGAAATGTTCCCGATTCGTTGACAGTTATCACAAGAGGAAACAAATTCATTAGCATCTTTAAAAATCGTGGGCCAGAAGTACCCACAGTCCAAAACCCGCCTTGCGGTTCTATTCCCTGAAAAGTGGCCCCCAGTAGGACCACTGTGACAATGCTCCAGAATGTCCTTTGCCTCAGCTTCAGTAACACATCTTCTCACCACCTGGTCAGCACAAATTCGGAATAGATATGGATCATCCCAAAAATAGTGCTTTGCTTCTGATAGGAACCGCCTTTTCATGTGCCTTGTCAGTTCGGTAGGCTCGACTTTACCAACAAGGTAGTTGGCAATGTCGGCATACCACGGTGTTTGCTCCTTGGCGGAAATCGCCATCAGTCTCTCAGCAGGAAAAAGTTCCTCAATTTCGCATTTTCCGAAAGTTTCTGCTAACTCGGCATCTAACCTTGAGAGGTGATCAGCTGCCTGATTAGCAGACCCTTTTCGGTCCCTGATTTCAATATCAAATTCCTGCAACAAAAGAACCCAGCGTAACAGTCTAGGCTTAGCATCATGCTTTTGGAGGAGATATCTAATGGCCGAATGGTCGGTATAGATAATAACCTTCGAAAGAATGATGTAAGTCCTAAACTTCTCTAAAGCACAAACAATAGCAAGGAATTCTTTTTCGGTGGTAGTGTAGTTGAGTTGTGGCCCTGACAGAGTTTTGCTAGCGTAGTAGATTGGGTGGAAGTTCTTGTCCTTCCTTTGACCAAGAATGGCCCCCACTACTAAGTCACTAGCGTCACACATGAGTTCAAAGGGTAAACTCCAATCTGGGGCCACAAGCACTGGTGCATTGATCAGTTGTGTTTTAAGTGCTTGGAAAGCATCATGGTGACATTCATCAGAGAATATAAAAACCGCATCTTTTTCAAGTAACCGGGTGAGAGGTTTTGCAATTTTAGAGAAATCCTTTATAAAATGACGATAAAAGCCCGCGTGTCCTAAGAAGCTGCGGATGGCTTTTACCGTGGTTGGTGGAAGAAGTTTCTCTATCGTCTCAATTTTTGCACGGTCCACCTCTACCCCGTTACTTGACACTTTATGTCCAAGTACTATACCCTCTTTCACAAGGAAGTGACATTTCTCCCAACTTAGGGCTAAATGGGTTTCCTTGCAGCGGATAAGTACTTTTTCCAGGTTTTCAAGGCATTTTTCAAATGTTTCCCCAAAAATAGAGAAGTCATCCATGAATACCTCCATGAAGTGGCCAATGTATTTTTCAAAAATGGCAATCATGCACCTCATGAAGGTGGCAGGGGCATTACAGAGACCAAAAGACATCCTACGAAAAGCAAAGGTCCCAAAAGGGCATGTAAACGTAGTTTTGTCTTGGTCTTCCGGGTTGACATGGATTTGGAAGTATCCACTCATGCCATCCAGGAAACAGTAGTGACTATGGCCTGCCAAACTCTTTATTAATTGATCGATGAAGGGAAGGGGAAAATGGTCTTTCCGGGTGGCTTCGTTCAGTTTGCGGTAATCGATTACCATTCGCCACCCGGGTAACAGTTCGACTGGGTAGAAGTTCGCCCTTTTCATTTTTCATGACGGTCATTCCCCCCTTTTTGGGGACAACATGAATCGGGCTTACCCACTGGCTATCAGAGATGGGGTAAATGATACCCGCATCCAGCAGTTTGACAATCTCGGCACGCACTACTTCCATCATGTTTGGGTTTAAACGTCGTTGTGGTTGGACAACTGGTTTAAACCCTTCCTCAATCTTGATGGTGTGGGTACAAAAGGCGGGGCTTATTCCATTGATGTCCTCAAGTTTCCAAGCAATTGCTTGCTTGTGTGTCTTAAGGACTCCAAGTAATTTCTCCCTTTGTTCCTCACTTAAGTGTGCGGCGATGACGACAGGGCATTTGCCTTCGTCATCCAAGAATGCATATTCTAAGTGGTCGGGCAGTTTCTTTAGTTCGAGGGGGTGGTCGTTTTTCAAGTTTTGTTCATTTTTCTCCCCCTCAAACTCAATCAATACTTCGTTAGAAGCTTGATCAATCAGCGCACCCTCACAACTCTCGCATGCATCACTCACATCACTGTTGGCTTCTTTTAACAGACATGCTTCATCAGTTACATGTCCATTTTCTTCCCCAAACAGATACCCTTCAATAGACTCAAAGGTATCAAGAAAATGACATCCTTGAAAGGAATCTGTGGGGTGTTTCATAACATCTGAGAGTCGGAAGGTGCATAGATCATCTCCGACTCTTAGAGTTAATGAGCCATCAGTGACATCAATTAAGGCCCTGACGGTAGCCAGAAAGGGCCTTCCCAGAATAAGAGGTGTTTCTCTATCCTCTTCCATGTCCATTACTACAAAGTCGACTGGGAAAATGAATTTGTCAACCTTGACCAAGACGTCTTCAACAATTCCTTTCGGATATTTGACTGAGCGATCAGCCAGTTGAAGACACATCCTGGTGGGTTTCATTTCCCCAAGTCCTAGCTTTTCGACTATAGAGGAAGGCATCAGATTGATACTTGCCCCTAAGTCAGCTAGAGCATTATTGAAATTGAAATTGTCAATAGAGCAAGGGATAGTGAAACTACCTGGATCCTTTAGCTTTTCGGGTATTGACCTTAGAACCACGGCCGAGCATTCTGCGTTCAAGTCCACGACTGAGAGCTCCTGCAGCTGCCTCTTGTTTGTCAGCAAGTCCTTGAAAAACTTGGCATATTTGGGCATCTCCGCTAGGGCATCCATCAGCGGCAGGTTGACGTGGAGTTGTTTGAGTAGGTCCAGGAATTTGTTGTATTTCCTGCTATCGTCATCATTTCTAACCCGTGAAGGAAACGGGAGAGAAGGTTTGACGATAGTCACCCTTGTGTTAGGGCGTGTTGGTTCCATGCTCTTCTCAGTTGGAGCATCAGTTTGTTTCTCAGGTTCCATGGTCGGGGTACCTTCCTCTTCCTTGTCTTTCTGCTCAGCCACGGTTGTTTGTCTCCCGCTTCGGAGAGTGATGGCTTGCACATGTTCACGGGGGTTTGGTTCCGTGGTGTTAGGCAAGTTGCCTGGCTGACGACCAGGAACATTGTTCTGATTAATTTGCATCATCAGATTTTTGATCTGATTGTCGGTGCTGGCCTTGTATCTTGTTATTTCCTCCCGCGTCCTTGCCAATTCTGCTACCAACAAGCCTATCTCTGATGGCTGGGCAGCCTCCGTTTGTCGTTGGTGTGGAGGCACATAAGCTTGGTTGTTTTGTTGGCTTGATGCACCTCCCTGGTTACGACCTTGGAAGTTGTTGCCTTGATTGTTGTTGGAGTAGTTTTGATTACCTTGATAACCGCCGCGAGGAGGACCATTGTTGTAATCCCCCCGCCATTGGTTACCTTGGTAATTCCTTCCCTGGAAATTCTGAGGAGGGTAGTTGGAGTTACCCCCCTGTTGCCCTGATTCGCCCATGGCCCTTCTTGTTTTGTTCGGCCGTACTCCAGCATGTTCACTTCCCTGTTGTTGTTTACATTACATTCATCGACTAATTGACATGAGTTGGTAAAATGTGGACCAAAACATATCTCACATGAGAGTACAAGTTCAGTTGAATGAGAAACAGGTGAAAAAGTATTAAATTGAGATGACTGTGGAGCAGAGCTTGAGTTCCCGAAGTATCGGGATGATTGTTGATTTGGGACAGCACCGATGTTGTTGACTTGGTTGGTGTGATTGTTATCATTCTTCAAATTCTTCACTTCCACGACCAATCCTTCAATCTTCGCTGTTAGGGCCGTGAGTTGGTCAACTTCAAGATAACCTGGTTTTGTTGCTGCTGGAGTTCTTTCGTCATACCAGTATCTTGCATTTGAAGTGACCTTCTCCACCAGAGCTTCGTTGGTGTTGGGTGCCATGTCAAGGAATGATCCCACCTGAGAAGAGAAATCAAGTTCTTTTTTGCTACTAACTTGAAGTCCATTGTAAAAATGGAACATCAAGCTACTAGAATCCATCAGTGTGAGTGGACATTTGTTTCTCATATCCTTGAAACGATCCCATGCTTCACTTAAGGACTCCATCGGGAATTGCCTAAAATTTTGGATTGCTGTTTTTATTTTAGCAACTGCCGATGGAGGAAAGTATTCTTGCATGAATGCTTGGTGCAGTGCCGCCCATGTTGTGAAGTGACCCGTTGGAAAGCTATTCAGCCACAAAGATGCCCTATCCCGTAATGAGAAGGGAAATAGGGTCAACTTTGCGGCGTCGGGGGTCACTCCGTTAAAGCGGAACGTTTGGCATGCTCGGGTGAACCACAACATGTGGGCCCTAGGGTCATCTTGCTTGGACCCGCCAAATTGATGGTTGGACATCATGTTGACAATGGCGGGTTTGATCTCGAAATTGGCTGCCTCGATTGCCGGTGCGCTGATACTATCATCCTCGATGAAGTTTGGCGTAAGATTTTGCAACACCGTCCTTTCTCCCGCCATGCTTGGTTTCTTGTGGATTGAAAGATTTTTCCACAAAGTTCGTTCAGGTTCAGGATCAAGTTCAATTAGACCTTCCACTCCTTTAGAGCGGGTGTGCATTCATTTATCCTGAAATCTTTATACAAATTGTCGCAAGGGCGCCATTTTATAACCGCTTTCGCGGCGTTGTAGTAAAACGGAGTCTAACCTTTCGGTTTTTCCCCGAGTGTCGTGTCTCTTGAGGAATGGCGGAGAAGTTTCTTAATTTAATTTTAGTCACGGGCTATCGCTAATCGTTGGAAGCTTTTTCAATATAGGAAGTGATTTTGTTCAATATTATGCTAGTTTATAACTAGGAGCAAGGGCAATTTAAAGATTAATGTATTAAGATTGAATATTCAAGGATGCAAATAAGGGCAATGAATTGAGTAATTAGAAATGGATATGTTCTTGGACCTCTTAATTAGGGAAATTAAGACTAAAGTTGGACTAATAATTTCTTTTCTCATAGACAAGAATAGAAACTATCTTCATTAATTTATCCTATTTCTAGGTGTCATTAATGTGTTTAAAATGGTTGGCTTAAATTATTTTCTAAACCCATAGACAAGGTAGAAATAATTTTCCAATATTTTAATTAATAAAAATAGCCAAATTCATTAACTAGTTAAACTCTTTATTTTAGCAATTGAATTTATTTCTCATAGACAAGATGTAAATCCTTTTCATTAAATTATCCTATTTCTAGGCTTTATTAATGTGCTCAAATATGGTTGGCTTAAATTAATTTCTAATCTCATAGACAAGTTAGAATTAATTTTCAAAGAATTTAATTAATGAAAATGGCTAACTATTATTAATTACTATTTCATCATTTTAAACAACTAGTCCAATTTATTAATTTTAACCCCTAATTTTAGGTCAACAAGTCAATCCATATTCCTTTTCTCAATTCATGCCCTAACAAATTTAGCTACTCATCATCATTTTTACAATTAACAATATAATGATTAAATTCAACATTAACAAGGAATTAAACATGTATGATAGCAAAAATTAAACAAAAATTATATTCTGGAACAATAAACTTGTAGGAACTAAAATATAACTTTCTGGAAATTTTCACCAAATTTTGAACCTAAAATCCAATTTTAACAACTAATTGATAATTTTCTCAACTTTAACTAGAAAATGCAAAAAGCAACTAAAAAATACTCTAACTTCATTATAAATTTTATTTTAACTACTGGTAGTGATATAACAATTAATTAAACTGAAAATAAGGCCGAACTAATTTTTTTCCTTTTTTGAGTATTTATTTAAATTTAAGCAATAATATCAAGTAATTACCGAAATTAATTAAAAATTACTTCTACTTCGTGAAAAATTAATTTCTTCAGATGAATAACTACCTTGTGGCTAGTGAACAACTATATAATTAATTGGAATGAATTCAACAACAATAACTATTTTATTTAATTTTTGGAAAGAAATGCGAAATACTTGAAAAATAATCTGGAAATTTTCGAAGAACAGATCGAAGAAACAAAGCACAGATTCAGATTCTACACGTTGAGAAGATGAAAATACATATAAAGAACTTACAATTTGGAGCTAAAATGAAGAAGATATGAAGATTTGAAGTTTCTCTCTCTCTAAAACCTTTGGAGCTCGAAAATGGAGGAAGAAAGAAGGTGTTTTGAACTGATTTAGGGTTGGAAGAGGTGTGTTTGAGTTCAGCAAAAATCGGGCAATTTATAGGAAATTTTTCTCCGTAGGCGGCCATCCAGGCGGCCGCCTTCCGCCTCTCTCCGGCCGCCTTCCGTCTAATCGCCGGCAGCGGATCGTGGCCGGTCCCGTCAGCCGTAGGCGGCCACAGAGGGAGGCCGCCTTCCGTCACACATTGGCCGCCTGCCGTCTTTTCATGGTCAAATCGGATCGCGGCGGATCCCGGCGGATCCCGGCCGCCGCAGGCGGTCCAGCAGGCGGCCGCCTGCCGTTCCTGTCTGGCCGCCTGCCGTCAAATCCCACCGGCCGGCGGTTGCTTCGTCGTCTTCTGCCGCAGGCGGTCACCTTAGGCGGCCGCCTTCCGTCCAGTGTCGGCGGCCTACGGTCTTTTCCGAATCCGGTCAGAGTCAAAGTTTGACTTTCCAAAAATACCGTAGGCGGCCGCGAAGGCCTTCATTTTGGCCGCCTGCCCGGCCGCCTGTGAGATTATTTGTCCGGCTTGTTCCTTATTTTGTGCTCTTCAATATTGTCTTCTGGACCACTTTGAAATAATGTCTCCTTCTTTCGGTATGATATCATTTGTTGCTCAAATTGGCTCATTTTGTGCTCAATTGACCCGAAATTCCGACAAACATACGATGAATGTGGTTTTCACCTGATTTCATGAAACTTGAACCAAAATATCTAAAACATGCCTTTTCTTTCTATTTTCAATCAAAAATCGCTTAAATTTGATAAGAAAAATAAGTACAAAAATGGACTTATCAGAAGGTTTTACAGAATGATATGAAAACTTAGCGTAGAAACCTTTGCACGAGAATAGGCTCTGCGGCTCTAGGTATGAAATATCTGGGAAAGCTTAACCTACTCATTCTCCTAAGGGGCATATTTATAGCCTTGGAGAATGGTAGGTTAACAAATGATTGGGCTCCAACTTCAAGGAGGCTCATTCCTATTTAGGCAAAAGAGCCTTAACAAATAAAGCCTATTCTATGGATAAATAAACTATTACAAAAAGGCTAAGTAACATTGATCACAATGAAAATATCTCTATCAGTCACAGACTCACATACTTATTACAGATACATTTCCGAACCATCTAACTTTGGAATATAATAATACAAAATAGGAAAAATTCACATGAATAATCTCACCTTTTCAAGCTTCTAATATTAATCCCATGTATGAGTTATTCTAAAATAATCCGATCTAGAGAAGGTATCTTCCCAAAATAGTTTGATAACTGGAATACAAAATTTCATTAGGTCACCCCATCACGTGTCAGTATCTGATTGGGTTAAATATTTTATTATGTTTTCCTTTTCTTTTCTTGCATTTTCTTTTATTTCTCTCTCTCCTCAGTTCTCTTCTCTTCCACTGACCCCTTCTTCGTTGCCTGCTTCTCATTTTCCTATCTTCTCTGTTCTCTGCCCTCCTCTTATTAATTCTTCACAGCTTTCTGGATTTTGTCCCCTTCTCTCCTTCTTTACTTCGAATTTATGTCGACATTCGCGCCTGCCGGTCATCTGATCTGTCGGTCATCTCCTTCTTCCATTATTTGATTGTAAATTTTTTCAACGTTTTAGTGCCATTGAGGCGTCCAAGGGATTCCGGCGACTTAATGAAGAAGTTGGGCCAATCGCGGGATATTCAGTTGAATCGTCTCCTGTCATCATCCTCATTATCTGATCTGTAACGTTCATGGACAATCTATCATCTTTCATCCAAGATTCAAAGGTTAAGGCTCGGAACAATGAAGCTTTATTTTGGGAAGAAAAGTCTCGACACATGATTTCTTTTATCCTTTTCGTTTTTTGTCCCCTATTATTATTACTTGTTTGCATTTCCCTTCTTTGTATACCGGTTTAGCAGGTCTTGGGTAATGGGGATCAATTTGAGAAGATGTCATGTTAATTTCGGATTATTTTAGAATTACTAATACTTGAGATTAATATTGGAAGACTGCTAATAGTTGGGATTATTGGTGTGAATTTTTCCTACACAATATTATAATGCTCTTTATGCGGTAAGATGATTTGAAAGTCTACTTTTTTTTTAATAAACACAATTTAGTTTTATTTACTTATTTTGGATTTCAAAACTTTATCTCATGTGATTTGGATTTTGTAACTTTCTAAAATTTAAAGATAGCTTTTGAATTTGTAACTACTAATTATTTCGATAAAAAACTACTAATTATTAAAAATGATTTAATTATGAAAAAATTGAAAATATCTCAACTATTACTAGTCTGCCATTAATAACCCCAACTATCGATTACTTCTGGGCGGTCCCAACTACAAAGATCATTTTTCAAAAATGGTCTCTAACCTGTTACAACCTGGTATAGCAAGTCATTTTTAAATGTGAACTATATGTCAGTTTTAAATAACTCCAACTATAGTTGATCATTTTTTTTATTAATCCCAACTATCAACTCTCAATTTTTTGAAGTTGTAAAAATATTTTTTTTATAAACTTCCAAACTAAATATTTCTAAACATGTATAAACCATTAAAAAATTATACAAATGTACCAAAGTTAAATAAAACATTTGTAGTCATTTTTAGATTTATTTCCAGTAATTGGGTTTCAATTTTTCCAGTTTGTTTTTCCCAGTTGTGTTACCAATTTACGATTTTGTATTATTTTCCTTTATTCAAATCACACTGTTTTAAAAAAGGAATCATAATTATAATTTCATTTATTTATTTTATGCTATCTAAATTCTAAAAACCTAAATGATCTATTTTTCCATGTTAGTATTTCTAGTTTCTTTCTATTTTATTTATTTTATATTATTATATTTTATAAATTATATTACATAGTTTATCATTAAATTTTAGCTATTTGGGGTAAAGGTTTTGAAGCTTTTGACTATATTTAATGAAAATGCATTAATATTATAATTTTAAGCGATATAGTGGAAATTGTAAACATGTAGAAAAGGTGTATCAAAATGATAATAATAATCCCAACTATTTTGGTATGTAGAATAAGTGTGGACTTTTGGTAAAAAAATTACAAATACTAAAATGGAATAAATAAAAAATTTAGATTTTTAGATTAAGCTAGAATAAAGATCTAGATCGTAAAACATCTAATCACAATTTACTTTTTGAAAATAGAAATTGTAAATTTGAATAAAAGAAAATAATACTAAATCATAAATTGGTAATATAACTATGACAAACAAATTGGAAAAGGATAAAATGAAATTTTAGTGATAATAAATAAAAAATGACTAATTTTTTTTATTTAATTTCGGTACGTTTGTAGAGTATTCATAATTATTTTTCATGCTTAAAAATATTTAATTTGGAAATTTATAAAAATATTTTTACATCTTAAAAAAATTGAAAGTTGATACTTGGGATTAATAAATAAACGGAGTTGTGATTATTTAAAGCTTACACATAGTTCACATTTAAAAGTGACCTGCTATTCCAGGTTGTAACATATTAGAGACTATTTTTGGAAAATGGCCCCTATCATTGGGACCAACCAAGAATAATCGATAGTTAAGATTATTAATGACGGACCAACAATAGTTGAGACTAATATTTTCAATTTTTCCTTTAATTTATTCATAGCAACGAATTGGCTTTAGCATTAATTAACTTTATAAACTTCAAATTGAAAGTTCAATTTCGGGCGGAAGGAGAATAATTTTAGTTTCTAGGAGTATTAAAGATGAAAAACAAGAATTCTAACTACAATCTCGTATTCAACAGATGTCTATAATCTATAACTCTGCCATATTTGATAATGATCAGATGAACTTCATCCGTCTCGAACTAATTGTCTTGTTTTCCTTTTTCACTACAATAAATCACAGGATTGACACGAAATTTGGCACAAATTACCGACTTTTCGTGCCAAATAGTTCGATCCAAAGTGTTTTTAACACGAGTTTCGCATAATTCATGCCAAAAATCATTGTCAATCCCGTATTTTTTGGTAGTGTTTGGAATGCTCCAAAATAATTGTCTATTTTCTTCTTTTGTCAACAATATGTGGCACACATCAATTCACTTTTTGTGTACTCAAAACTCAAACATAACTTTTATGGAGTATTATCTTTTCAACAACTTTCTTAAAACTTGTGCTCAAGCAAACAAGACAAGACCACTCCTTGCCATAGACAATCCTTATAGAGAACTTGTTGTAGACACTTTTATACTCACTTTATACCCACATGTCTGTGAAAAGTTTTTTTCTTCTGTGAATCCGATTCACAGAAAAAATAATTTGCAGACATATTTTGTCTGTGACCCGGATTCACAGAAAAAAAAAAGACTTTGCACAAACATGATAGATATAAAAGTGAGTATAAGAGTGGATATAAATAATTTTTTTGATCCTTATATATGTGGTACCTTTGGGTGTGGGATGCTCCTTTAAACCATATATTTGTTGGTATAATGAATCTGGTCGATCCGATACTATCAGCTCAGTATATCCGATCATGGGCCTAACTGAATACAGACCAGACCGGCTAGCATAAATTAGTCGGAAATTATTTAGTTACTCATTAGGCCATTTGGTCTTTAAATGTTAGTCCAATAATAAAAAATGAATTTTTTCAAACAAGTGCAAATGAAAACTTCTGATATCAAAATACTAATAAGACCGCGTTTGGTATTCTTGTTTTTTGGTTTATCAGGCTTATTAGCTAACTTTTAAACCAAACACGTAGCGATTTCAATTTTGCGCGCTTAATTGTGTAATAATAAGAAAAAATAAGGTTGAAGATACTTTTCTGGCAATATTGGCTGAAATTACTATAGAGTGTCACTTTAGCTATTTTTCTTATAAGTTTTTCTTTATTTCATTATAAAATGAAGTATTATAAATATAATTTAATCTATCAATCCACTCATTTCAATCAAAACTTAAAATTCATAAAGCTTAATGGAGCACTGCATACAGTATATTTTAAGAGCTTGTAACAACTACTAGTAGTCGAATACCCATGTGTTGTTACCACTTTATGAAACTAGCTAGAAATTTTAGACTACCCAAATATGTCACAAACAGATGATCCCCACTCAGATAAATAATTATCTCGAGCATAAGCATCATGTCATCAGGGCTCACCTACGGCTCATATCAAAATTATGATACGGAGTACTAGGTATTCTGTCCGTCCCTTTTTAACTGCAACAGTCAACATTTACGTTTGTTAATGCACAGTACAAGTTTGACTATATATATATATATTTCATTCTTTATTAGTAAAAATTTTAAAAAATTCATATTTTGAAAATTTAGAATGAAAAGAATTTAACAATATTTTTTCAAAATTTAATTTATAATACATTAATAAATGAAATATAGTCAATTAAAGTAGAATATGTGAATAGTGCAAAAAGTCTAATGTTGCAATTAAAACATAACGGAGCTAATACATTGGTATATATGGAGTAGCATTTGTTTACAAGATACGACCCCTACCCTCCCTCCGTCTCATTAACATTTACATATGAGGAAGTCACACGATTATTAAGAAAATGAGTTTAAATAATTGATATTGAATTCATAAAGTAAATATAAAGTATAATGATTTAAAACTACATAAACTTTATCAAATTTGGTATGAGACAATCTTAGTAGATTTCCAAAAAAAAGGAAAAATAGGACAATCATAACGGGATAGATGAAGTAAAAGAAAAATGTTGTTCAACCGAAGAGAGTAATAAAAAGAAATTATATATCCAAAGAGGAGTAATAATTACTACGCATGTTTTTGTCTTTTATACTCGTACATGAGTAATTAGTTTCATGTTTTCCTGCAAAAAAAATTATTTTCATGTTTTGACAATATTTTCTAAATTTGAAATCAGTTACTCTTATTTAAATAATAATAACGATGTACTCATATTTTACTCTTATTTTAAGTATTTCCCCAAATTTTTAAGCACTAAGAAGTCTAAGTGAGTGATTGTGATTGCTTCTACTTTGAAATTAGTTACTCTTAATTATATAATTCTAACATCCAAATTTCACCTTTGCCGATGCACAACTTTGATCATTAATATATACTCTCTCCGTCCCAAAATGGTTGGCCAATTTTTTTTTTGCCGTCCCAAAAAGGTTTTTCATTTTCATTTAAAATAAGGTATATGTGGGTAAAGTTAATTCCCTCTCCTCTGTACAAATTTCAACCACACAGTTTTTACTTTATTAATTCACGTGCAAGTTAACATTGCCCAACCATTTTGGGACGGAGGGAGTATAATTTTGTATTCGTAAAAAAATTAGAAAACAACATGATTTTGCAAATTTAAAACGACATTAAATTAACAATAGTTTTTAAAAATAATTTATTAACACATAAGTAAATAAAGCGTAGTCAAAGTAGTACATATGAATATTGTAAAATTCAATATGTTGCATTTATTTAAGAACAAAAGCATTTGCCCCTAGATCAGGAATATGTCGAAGGTCAACAAAATTGTTAATGAAGAAACAATTTTGTATTTTCATACGGGATTTGGGTGCAAATACATATGTTTCTAAAATTGGGTGCAAAGATCAATTTGGGCAATAAAATGTTTTTAAATTTATGTCAACATATATATTTTAATAATACAACAAGAATTTAATTTTTCCAGATTGTAATTAATTAAGTATATTGATAATCAAAATAAAGAAGTGTACTGTAAGCTAGACTAGCTAGTTTCTATTCGATCAAACGTGACGCCCATGCGGATTATACTGTATATAGCTAGGAGTTGCAGTTCCAGTAGTTCCACATAAACACATGAACTTGATCGATCATTGTTAATTAATTACTTAGTGATTAATTAGTAATAGTACACAGTGTAATAACCAGCGATAATATATGCAATAAGATAATTCTTCGAAGAGTAATGACGTAATTATCTTTGGTTCGATTTACGGCGTAATTTTATGATCAAAATCTTTGAGCATATTTTTCATAAAAAAATTAAACCAAAAACCGCCTTAAACCGCGGTAACTGAACGGAGGATCTTGTCGGGATGTTGGACACCATATTTTCCATATTTTTCCTTCCTTTGGAATTATAATAAAGGCCAATATAGTATATATGGTACGTGATCGTAAAATGCAATAATAAAGGGCACACATATATATAAATTCAAAAGATCATTTTTAAAGATGAAAGCTAGCTAAAATCCGCATATACTTAATTAATTACTGCTTTATTGGACACTTAATTAGCTTGGGCGATAACCAACCCTCAACAATTCTTTTCAATAAACTAAATAAAATAAACTAAATAAAATAAAATAAATCTAATTAAAAAGACAACATACGAATGATATATAGAACAGTGCACCTAATATAATACTGACGCGACCACGTAATTAAATGAGACTTATGTAGCTAAATTTAATTCGTTTCATCTATTTCATGCATGCATGAAAGCATACAATCCTTAGATGATTAATTAATTATGATAAAGAATAGATACTAAACAGATAATTAATTTGCACGTACGTACACAATAGTAATTAATTAACATGCTCCAATTAAGCATGTGGGCCAACGCGGGTGTCAGACTGAACACCGTGGCCGACGCCCGGACTGTGGCCGGGATTGTCGCCGTCAAGAGAAGCTGCGGCGGCGGAGCTGACGTCATCACCGGAAGGTGGTGGGGCATGACGGACGTTGTTTAGTTTTGGGAGGACGTCATGGGAGGGGTTGGTGGATGACGTGACGGTGGTGGGCTGCAGAAAGTGCGGATCGTTCAGTGGCCTCTGCTGCGACACGTGAATCCCGGAGCAGAAAAGCAGTGCCAGAAACAAGGCACATCGGAGAATCGTCATCAACCGGAATGTTGCCATTAAATGGACAGACCGGCCGCCGGATTTTGATAATGGTGAGGAAGGGTAATATAACCAGGCGCGCAGTTGGTGTTGTCCCGTACTCCCGTTGTTGAAGTTTATAGGTGTTGTTCACGTGTATTTATAAGGGACGAGGTAATGTTTTTTCACAAATTGTACCACTCTCCCTCCATTCTGTAGGGTTAAAATTGGTCGATTCTAATCAAATTGATGAGTTTTGAGTCATATAATTGAATTCGCTACTCGGGAATTGATAAAGTCCCACACCGGTAAATTGAGAAGCATTAGAGTGTTATATTAAGTTTCGGGCTACTTCTTCTAACAAGTTGACCTTTTAGGATGGAATTTCATGTCTTAACATGGTATCAGAGCCAAATCGATCCATGGTGTGGCCCCCCTATGTAAAAATGACGACATGATTATAAAACAATGAAAATGACGAACCGGCGAAAAAAATGAATGACGGCACGATCCAGACAAAATGTCTGGTCGTGAGGAGGGGTGATAAAGTCTCACACCGGTAAATTGAAAAGCATTATAGTACTATATTAAACTTCAGAGTACTCTTCCTAACAGGTTGACCTTTTAGGATGGAACCCCAGATCTTAACATGAACTATATGTTAAAAATTATACGGAATATTTAACATACTCGGTATAATTTAGTTAAAAAATAAAGAAAATATAATATAGAGTACTACGTACGAAGTATGTAGTATGAAAACTAGATAAAATGGTCTTTCACAACAACTTCAGTCAATTCAACAAAAAAGTAAGTTAAACCTTACTTATTTTGATTATTATGCAATTCAGCGTGCGAATTCAAAAAGATACGTGTTTGTTAAAGAATAGCTGATAACGTTTATAAGCCAAAAGGGCCACAAAACGGGCTTGTAGTGTAGAATATACTACGTATTAGTTTGACACTTTTGATAATAGTATCTGGTCATTGTATTTGTTAGGATGTCTTTATGTTCTAGTCTGAACTGGTCTAATTTGGAAGATGTCTGTTCTATGTGTATTTACAAGTGCTGAAGTCTGGTCGGATCCGGTTCGGTCTGGTTTGTTTGGTTTAAGGATGTTTTTACTTGGATTTATTTCAGTCTCATACCAAATCAAACCAGAACATGCTTAAACTTATGATAACAGACTTAACAGACCAGACCAGACTTCGACAGTTATAAGATGCACATAGACCAGACATCTACCAGACAAATACAGACCAAATCAATTCAGATCAGACTAAAACATTCCACACCAGATCAGACTAGACTAGATGGACCTGAGAATTCCAATCCTATCTAAAACATCCTAAATTTGATCTGGTCTACACATCAAATTAATCCAATAAAAAACAGTATTCTTACAAGTAATAAAACGAATAATATTGTCAGGTATTCGGTTCGATTTGATTTGTTTACAACTCTATTTTTGGGTTATTGTCAGGTATTCGGTTCGATTTGATTTTTTGGGTTATTGGTGTGTCATGGAAAAGTTCGTGAATTGCTGTATAGGATCGATAATGTTAAATTATTTTAATTATCAAAAATAGGTTTAGTCGTTACAAATGCCATGATAGGTATTATAGTGTTCATGTATAATGTAATTTATTTTCCCATATCGATACGACTATACCATGATCGAGGACCATTTATATAATTATATATATGCCAATTTCGGTTATATATTAATAAATCTGCCATTTTATTTTTATTGGATAATACTAAAAATAATAAAGTTTTTGAACGTTTTCCGCCAAATTTTGAGAGATTTCTATCCAAATATAAAAAACAATTGACTATTATTACGAAGTATATAACTTCGAAAATATTTTTAAAGATGGAAAAAGATGCAACCAATTATTCGAATAGTTAACTTAGAAATCATTCAAAAAGAAATAGCTAACTTAGGATATATGATATGATGAAATGCTTATTCATAAATTCATCTTCACATACGTGAAAAGAAATAATGACACATACTATCCTCCTTTCTTTAATCCTTGCAACAGTTTGAATTTCACGTTTGTCAACGCACAACTTTGATTGTTATTATATTTAATTATGTATTACTAAAAATTATAAATAAAGTCGATATTTTGGTAATTCACATTGATAGAAATTCAATATCATTTTATACGTAATAATTTGATTATGTATATTAGTAGAAAATCGTGATCAAAATAAGATGGGAAAGTTCCCGAAATAGGACTAAAAAAGTTTGAAAATTCCAAAATAGGACTGTCATTTTTTATTCCCAAAATAGGACTAATTACTGCCAAGTTTGAAAAATATTGCCATGTTTGAAGTCTGGTACTGCCAAAACATTACAGTAATTAGTCCTGTTTTGGAAATAAAAACATGGAAGTCCTATTTTGGAATTTTCAAACTTTTTTAGTCCTATTTTGGGTAATATCTCAAATAAGATTTGTGAATAGTGCAAAAATCACAATGTTGCAAGAATTAAAGAACGGAGGAAGTATAATTTATACGAATTTATAAAATGAAGTAGCTGGAAATATGAGAAAATTGTTTAATTCTTTTTCATATATGTATGTTCCGCATATGACCGCAAATTATACGGTGGGATCCGCCCACCTTTTGTATGGTGTGTCAATCCACCTTTGGGCCGTTAAGTTGCTTTCCTTTTTGCTCCTGGAACTTCTTTCTTCACTATTCTCTTTTCTTTTGCTTTTCTTTCTTTATTTTTCTTTTCTTCAATTCTTCTCTTCTTCCATCAAATTAAATACTAAAAGTTTAAATGCAATATTACTTTTCTTTATCTTCAATTTAAATTACAATTGAATCTGTTTTTTATTCTTTATCAGTAAATCAAAATAAGTTTATTAATCTAAATTAAATAAGTATATTGCATTTCATATTTATATACTATTTGCTACTCCGTATCAACGAAAATATTCATACACTATTTTTATTTCTGTAATATTTTTTATATTCATACATATTTTTGTAATATATTTTTTATACATACACTTTTATGTAATATAATTTTATATCATACACTTTTTGTATAATATTTTTTTTTATCTCTTTTATATGTTTTTAGAGGTTTGTAAAACATTGAGTTTGTTTGTTTTGATTCTTGGAGTTGCATTTAATAATATATGAAATATGTTTATATTCATATGTAATTATTTGTTTATTTCATTTCAATATTTAAAATTTTAGTTCGACAAAAATATATATACATGATATTATTAGATAATTTATATTTCGATTTTGTTAAAGTTACATATACATAAATGCGAGTTACATTTCAACTTGGCTTATGTTACATTCCAATTAACATTTTTAATATTCCATCAAGTTACATTTCAATTAACCTGATTTACATTTTCTACTGTTCTCAAGTTACATTTCGAATACACTCGAGTTACATTTTTGCTTGCCTATAGTTACATCTTATAGCACGCCTTTTACATCCCTGTGCAAGTTTCATTTTATACCACTTGAGAGAGTAAAACAAGTTACATTCCAACACATGAGTTACATTGGTATAATACACTGGATTTGCATTTCACAATAATGCGAGTTATATATCAATACAAACGATTTACATCATGAAACAAAATGAGACAAATGTAAGGGTACTGCACTACTGTTCATGTGATTTTTTAAAATTTAAGCGTAAATCTACATGACACCATTTTATATGTGGGAGTATGATGCTCAATGTGGGATGATCCCACGGTAGTGTTGACATGCAAAGTACTTTCTTCTTCATATTCTAGTGAGATTAAAAGCCCATGTGAACAACATGTGATCTTTAGAGGTTTCCCTATAAAGAGACAAATTCTAATTCTTAGCCTTTCCAACTACCTTCAATTTGTTTTGCATCAATTTTTACAAATCATCCTAGTTAATTTTGACTTTCTTATTTTACTTCTAGCATCTATCATAAGATCATATGACACACTATGAACTTGAACATAGAAATTCACCATATTTAAAGAGATTCTGAGAGGTATATCCCTCAGTTTAATCACCTACAAAACTAGCAAATTTTGTTCAAAGAGTTGCATCCGTTCTAGAGCATATAATTCTTGTCAATTAATAATAGTAATAATCATAATACTCAATATTATTTATATTAGAGTAGACTTTTTGTGCAATGGAGTTGCTGGAAATATGGTTAACTACTTAATTTTTTTTAAAGGAAAAAGCATATCATTAATTAAGTCAAACTCTCATTATGTAACAGAGAGACAATACAATCAGGCGGATTACAAACCGGGTGAATTTGACTTTGCACCCCATTTTTTGGATAATATTGGAATTTGCACCCCATTTGAATAAACTTTGATTTTGCACCCCATCACATCACATTTTGTGAAGAAACAATTATAAATGGGGTGCAAAGTCAAAGTTTTTTTTAAAATGAGGTGCAAAGTCCAATATCACTCAAAAAGTGTGGGGTGCAAAGTCAAATTCTCCCTTACAAACCACATAAAAACCATCCGGCATAGAAAGAGCACCCTAGCTAGCTTATGAGCTACTACATTCGTGGATCTTCTACCATGAATGACTTATATCCTAGCTTCATTACGAAGGCTGGGTCTTATATCTTCTAAAATAGTGTCCAAATAAGAATCACGATCTCGCATTTCTAGTCCAAATAAGAATCCCCATCTCGCATTTCTGAACAGGGTTGGCAGTCAAGTAGGATGCTAAGATATTATCACAAAAAACTGGACTGAGATCGGGACTTGAAAACCAAGCTCAAACAGAACAAACCGAATGTGTAAGGCATCTTGTACTGTGTAAGCAATGGCACAATACTCTGCCTTAGTAGAAGATTTGGAGACAGTGGACTGCTTTATGGGTTGCTAGAAATATGGTTAACTACTTAATTTTTTTTTAAAGGAAAAAGCATATCATTAATTAAGTCAAACTCTCAGTATGTAACAGAGAGACAATACAATCAGGCAGATTACAAACCGGGTGAATTTGACTTTGCACCCCATTTTTTGGATAATATTGGAATTTGCACCCCATTTTGAATAAACTTTGATTTTGCACCCCATCACATCACATTTTGTGAAGAAACAATTATAAATGGGGTGCAAAGTCAAAGTTTTTTTTTAAAATGAG